AAAGAACATGAAAATTGTGTTAACCACAGAAATATTACAAAGAAGATCGAATCACTATTTTATTCAAAACAAAAACATAAAGAAAAGTATACATAAAAGTGTGAAGCTGCTGCAGAAATTCAAATGAGTATATTACTCTTGGTGAATCCAAAGAATATTGAGTGATTTGCAACAAATGTCCATAAACTGCATTTTAATGAATATCCATTACATTCATTTGAAAATGATACATTCATAAGATACTAAACACTTTTTAAAGCAGTTCCTGCAAAAGCCAGGAGGAATGTAGAATAATGTTGTAGTTATTTTTCTCTTGGTAGATGACTCTAATTAATATTGATAAATAAGTAGAAAAGGAATAAAGATAACATTTTTAAGACACAAAATTCATATCTCCATTATGAAAAATGTGATGCTTCTGTACACAAGAGAAAGTGTTTCACTAGATGGAAATATTTAATCTCTTTGGCACTACTAGCCTTAAGATGGGTACTAAATATATGAACAAAACTTGCCAGAGATTTCTTGTTATATCAGTCTAGAGAATTTGATGTGTTTTGCGCTGAGATTGACTTTTGTAGGGAGGAAGAAAACAAGTCTCATTCTTTGATACCTTCCAGTCTGTCCTTCAAACTATGAATTATACAGAAGTGTATGATGTCTAAAAGTAAAACAACATACCTTTTCAATTGTATACATAAAACTTGTGGATCTTTCTCCAAAGAAAATTTCTTTGTAGCCACAACTTTCTTGTTGCATCGTCTACAGGAATAATCACCACCCTCATCCAGACGTTCAGGGGAGAAATAATCTTCTAAAGCATCGTCCAATGTGGATACATGTTTGATATCCAGAGAAAAGTCTTGGCACTGCTGGAATGTTGTAGACACTGTCCCACATTCTAAACATGTCACTGCAATGGAACAAGAAGGATCTGTTAATATTAAAGTCAAAATATACAAAGTTTATTTCTCTATAACATCAAAGGTACTTATAATCAGTATTTCTTATTTGGATGGAGAGGCACTCTATTCAGATGTGACAAAGGAGTGGTCAATACTTCCTCAAATATTACCTACATATCTTGAATTAAATAAATAAAAACTCCAGTTAAAACGAAATGTTTATCCTTACTTCAACATCCATCACATCCTCTACCTATCAAAATATTGTCTTTATGAAAAAATGCTTATACAATGTATTGCATTGACAGAGAAAATGTCCTCCTAAAAAGTGGAAATATATATATATCAATCTGAAATATTAAAATTCTGCTATACAGCAGATTAATCTGAACTTCATCAAGAAACTAAATGTTATAAAATTAAAATAACTGTTCACGTGTTGCCATACCTTCTGTTCTAATATAACCTCCAAATATTTGATTTATTGGGGTTGTTTCTGTGCCGTAAGTGTCAAACCTGTAGGAAAAAGAAAACATTCCATCAAAATCTATTACATACAAAAAATAAAAAAAATTATTTTCTAATGTTCTTATCAGCCCAGCATCAGTATCGTACAACCTCAACATATTCAAACACGACCAATTTATAATCTCTGGGAATTAAATTACATAAATACAGGTTATTGAAACTGATGTAACATGTCAAGATTACTGACAAGTTTATTTGTTACATCACTCCTACAAACTGATTGTTTCAGTGAACTGTGAAAGTATGACTGAAGGTGGTAATCAAGTTCTAGCCAGATACTAGCACATAAATGTAAATGCAAACAATCAAAATGATGCAAGTAACTGATGATCCGACAATTCCAATGTTGCCAGAATTTTATAGGATTGCATTTTCAAACCAGTATGTTCAAATTTGCTATACTTTCTTATAAGCAGATAACTTCTACTTAAATTAATAAATGTTTTAAATTTCATGTATTATATTAGAATTCTGTAAAGAATATATGCCACAGTCTACATAATAATCTGGTTTAAATGGTTCTCAGGTCTTACAAAGGGAAGGAAAAAATTAATCATAAGTAAATTTGCAAATAATTAGAAATATAAATTGTACCTACAAGAAAAAAACTTTTAGAAAATACCATTAGTCTTATGACACCAGGAAATGCTGATTACTTCACAACACGGACACTTTTAAACACAAGAGAACCATTCAAATGCATTGGAAAAGAATTTTTTAATTCTATTATCAACCTAAGGTAATATATGTGCTCTTACGTGAAAAAATGGAAATGCATAACGTAACAGAACAATTTTTATAAGAACTTACTTTTGTGTACATCCTGTTTTGTATCCTTAATACACTAAATGTATTATTCCCACAATGTCACGTAAATTTACACATTTTATATCAACTTTTGGCTGCATCTGACACTATACCAATGGCCCTTACATTTAAAATATCAACTTTAACTTAAATCAAATGTGTCAGCAATGGCAAGCAGTTAAAATATCATCACATAAAATCTTCAAAAAGGAGGGTTCTGGTAAGTAAAGTCTTGCCAAAATAAGACCCAAAGAGTACACAAACATATACCAAACAGGAATTTTCACAGGCACAACTGATTTTTATCATAATTCAATTATGAAGGTTAAAGTCTGTAATGGGGATAGTTATACATACTCTCTGTCATTGTAGCCTGCGAAATATGCTTCCTCCATGCTAAGTAAAAGATATGTCATAAATTCATGAGCATCCTCTTACCCGCCAGCGACAAGGTGCTTGCAGATATCTGTAACACGCAAATAACATTTATCAGATTACGCTTCCTGGCAATAAATTACTGTCTGCTATGAAAACAGTACAAAAATATCAATACATTTAATGTATATAATAATTGTAACACATATAAAAATTTCACATGCAATTCCAGTGGTTCATTAATTACCACCATCACTAAGCACCCAAGCATTATAGTTATAAAATTTACACTTTCGTGTAAAATGCAACACCACACAAAATTTCAAGACGCTTTATTGAAGAAAACTAGTGTTTCCCCCACCTCAAATTTTTCAGTGCCACATTGTCTAGTGCTATGACAGTCAAAAACCTGCTTTTGCTTATTTATGAAAATTAGGAAAATGAAAGCACTGTAAATAACAGAGCAGATAAAGGTGAACTTAATCTTGTAAATGAAGCAACAACAAATTACATGAATCATGTGACCTCCTTATTCGACCATATTTATGGCATGGCTAACTACCTTATACTAAAAACAAAATTCACCAAAACTTACAACTCAGTCTCCTATAAATGTGATATGGCCTAATTACAGTGCCTAATTTGTTTTGTAATGCCACATAAGTGCTGTCCATTGCACAAATGGTGCAGTCTCTTTTATTCACCAAACCTGTAAAAGAACAGAGTTATTACATTACAACACAGAGAGACAACCAATAAACGTGCTTGTAAGGTGCATCTACTGCAACCATACTAACTCCTAGTAGCTGCATCCTTCTTGAGCAGCTAACAGTGACTACAGTACACAAAAACACGAAATATTTCTTTAAGAACCACATCAATGCTGTCCTATCTGCACATTTTTTCCTCCCTCTAGAAGTCTACACGACCCACCAATCTCATCATCCTGATGGAGTCAAATACAGTCTGCAAATCTTAATCACGTCGTTTCGTTCAGCCTTCTGTCATTCCCTTCTCTTAGGTCCAAATATTCTTCCAAGTGCCCAACCTTCGAGCAACCTCTATCTAAATTCTTCCCTTGGGGTAAGAGACCAAGAGAGAATACAACACGGCAAAAGATTTTGAAATCTTTGGTAGGTAGCAAGCATTCCCCCAATGTAATCTGCTCTTAAATTCTTCTTCCCTGTAATTGTGACTTGTTTCAGTCAATCCTGAGTCTAAATTTTGCCACAATTCTGAAATACTTATTAGCTATATTTATATCATAAATTTATCCTGCAATCTGATTACTATACATGAATGATGTTTCCCTTCTTTAACTTTACTATTGGCCTTATCTGCACACATTTTAATTGGCCTAACTAGTTTCGCAGACAATGGCGTAAACTCACTGTATGGGATAGAATACTCACTGATGCACTTATTTAGGTGACTGCTCTCACTCTGTAGCCAGTTAACAAATGCTGGTACATGGAACAGGGCCTAAAATGAAGCAGAAACAGACAATGAGCTTAGAATTCAGAAAGCAAACAAACTAAGCAAAAGGCATATTATATTTTCAACTAATATATAGTGAAGTGATGACGGAGGCAGTATGACCTCTGAAACGTTGGTTAACATCAACCAGACTACACAGCGCAACAACCCAGAAGACGGAAATCCTCATACTCACTGCTGTGAGAACCTCAAGTCTTACATAATATATAGTGGTTATGATGATTTTCACTGATCATTTGCGTCACGTGGTGCAGTGTATCACTCACACAGTTACATGCAACTGCCTCTTCCTGACCGCCCAATCATACGAGGTGCAATCAGAAAGTTTACAGACTGCGCCTATAAAAACCCGTACACTTATCTCAGGTATTAAATTCATCCATCACCCTTGAAGTAGTTCCCCTGGGAGTGAACACAACGATCCCAGCGCCGCTGCCAAGCCTGGAAGCATCCCTGGAAATCTTTCTTTGTCAGCCTGTCAAGCACCATCTGCGATTCTGCCTGAATCTCTTCTATCGTCTCAAATCTCCTTCCCTTTAGCTGAATTTTCATCTTTGGGAAGAGGAAAAAGTCACACGGAGTTGGGGTCGGTTCTTGCAAGATCTTTGAGCTCCTGACAAACGAGAAGTCGATTCTGCTTCTGGTCCTCAGACAGCACAAACTTGGCTGCGATCGATCTTCGTGAATGGCCTGCCGACTCTTCGTAACATTTTCGGGCGTTGTGCTCGAAGATGGTCGTCCAGAACGCTCGTCATCATCGACAGGGGTTCGGCCATTTTTAAAACGTGAATGCCACACAAAAGTTTGTGCACGACCCATTGCGGACTCCCCAAATGCTTGCTTTAGCATTTCATAGGTTTCCGTAGCCATTTTGACGAGTCTTTGGCAAAATTTGATGCACACGCCATTCCGAAATCGCAGGAGGGTCGGTGTAATGCACTACCAAAACGCCTGTAACTAAGACACAAATGCTAATTCGATGATGCCGGCTGGCACACTGATTCACTATGAATGTAGGCCCAACCCCTTAGCGGCAGAAGCTCGTACTACATCCGGTTCGCACTCTATTGACACAGTCTTGAAACTTTCTGATCGCACCTTGTAAAAGCAACTAATGCTAAAATCATTCACACGACATTGACATTGTGTTAAGTACTTGTTCATGCTGTTTGTGTGTGTAAATAGCATGCTTTTATTTTCTGTAGGAATTACATGCGAAACCCGATTCCACTAGAAAGTGTAGGAACAAATTACATCGGTGGTGGCTAATGCAGTTATGGAAGATGTAACCATGTAAGGAAGCACACTGTACTTACTGCATTTTCTAGTAGATCACTGAGAAAATGTAACACCAATCCCAGATGAAATGTACATTTTTATATCAAAGCTGTCATCTGTGAGCACGAGCAAAGTACATTATTGCAAAATCAGTGGCTCAAATATTTATTGACATTTTATTCCAGTAATTATCAAAGTATTTGAATCTGTTTACCACATAGGTGGCTGCAGATCCATCTGAAAAATAGTACATGTTTATAACTTTGAGGTTACGTCTGAAATCAGAAATAATTATAAATAGCTGTTAAACACAAAAACAATTGTACCTGCTTCTGTTACACTTGGCCCCCAGATATTTCACTGATTACAGTAAGACATATATGTCTTTTCTAAACTAGATAAAAATTTCATGCATTAATTAAGATCCATATCACTTTCACTTGAAGTTGACTTACTTAATCTACTGACTGAGGGGCTTAAACAGCAGTGTACAGACAAAATACAAGTTTTATACAAAACTTATTATTTGCATGCTGAGTATGGCAAAAACTTTTATCTTTACAACATTAACAGCATCCAATATATGCTATAAAACAGTGGTATTCAACCTGGGGTAAGCGAAGACATCTTACGGGGTACGTGAAATTTTTTTTAAAAAAAAATTATGATAAACACTGAATAATCAGTAATGTCATTAATTTAATTAATTTTAGATGTAGATTATATGGTATGTATAACTTAAATTATACACCAACAACTTTGGTGGTACAAAGTTGAAGAGAAATTATATCTGGGGGTACGCGAACAAAAAAGGTTGCATATCACTGGTATAAAATAAATAATTAAACAATTACTTAGCTTTATTTATTTTTTAAAACAATTTTATTTCTGCTTTTAGGTTATTAAACATACCTGCAGTGTTGAATTGATGTAACAAGTGTTTCCATCATTAAACATTCCTGATCCTACATAAGGGGTTCGTCTCCTGCCAAATTGCACACACTCTGCTGGGAAATTCTCCTTATTGCCAGTGTTACGAACTGAAAACAAATTACAAAATACATATACATCAGTAGCAGAAACAAACTGAACATGAACAAGGACTGTACACCAGTTGAAACTACAAGGTAGTTTGAATGGTATAACTTTTGTAATATGCAAATAGCTGATTTAAATTGGGCTACTGGCCACATTTTAACTTTGGAGCTAACACTTTAACAGCATGCATGGTAACTGTAAGCTGCAAAACACGGTCAATAATGGTTAAGAGGTAATGAATTAAAAAAAAATTTACATCTCCAATAAAGCAAAAGCACATTTTAATGATAGAGTATTTTGCATGTTGGCATGTACACTGAACGCACAATTTCATTGTTTATTCATCTTTTGACAGTATCTTCTTAACTCTTGCAACCACCAAATAGTGGTCAATATCACATTCAACTCTATTTTTTCTGAATGCTGCTTTACAAATGCATCATAGAAAAGATACTTTCAAGTGCATTTTTAACACTGTAATCTCAGAACATGTTACTCTTGGCAATTTTTCTACCATAACCAAGTTTATTACTCTAACCACACACTCATAACTAGTTGCATGAAAACTCACTCTCTACTTCTGAAATTAAACCTGCTAATAAAAATTTCATGCAGCACATGGATAAGTGATTGGATACAAGCATTAGTTCCTCATTAAAGCTCTCCTATGTGTAATCATCGTTACTTCAGTCGGGCACGTGAATTCAAATATCACGCCAACGGTCTCTTTGTATTATATATGTTATCAATAATAAACTTTATTCTCTTCATATCCGATATGATTCTATTATGAACAAAACATTGGAACGTTAATATATTTAGAGAGCAAAAGGTGTACTTTTTAAAAAGAATCGCCAGTATTATTGCCGTAATGTTCGAATCCGAAGATGGAGCTTTGCTGCACAGATGTTTCTTAATTTATAACGAACAGAGTTTCAGTCAATAGAAAAAGTACTGCTGTAGACTTACATCTTTCTTCAAAAGTCATGTTTATGTAGTTTTGGCTAGCTTTCAAAAACATTTTACACTTTTCAAACGCACGTATGTTCTTGGAAACTTCCTCTCGTCAACTGAGAAAACCAAAGATTATTTATTACAAGCAGTTGCGCAATAGCTTTCAATAATCTCTGACCAAACAAAAACTGTTCAGGAATATGTAAAGAGTTGCATTACACTCTCTGAACATGGATTAAAACTTCTATCAGTTAAAATACACACCATGTAACATATTGAACGCAGTTCATAACCATCACAAATAACGTTGTGCGATTGGTCATTGTTGATGCCTTTAAAAGATAGAACACACTCTATTTTAATAAATTTTAAATACAGTGTTTACACAAAAGAATGGTGCGGTTTCAAAAGTTAATAAAAAAATATTTCTCACCTTACATGGGCACAACATACCCGTATAAGGTGAGAAATAAATTTTTTATTAACTTTTGAAACCGCACCATTCTTTTGTGTATACCCTGAACATGTAACGTAACATAGACTAGAGCGTTGAATAACAAATGGGTTAATTTAATTTTTAAGTAGGCGCCTGTTATTGTGCTCACGTTTCTAAATAATATTTGGAATATATTAAACACCAATTCTAATAAGCGATACTCGTTAGAATATTACATATCACATACAATAATGTTTTGAAAATAAATGAACACATTATTACATAATGTAACACTGCAATTACGTCACTTACTTTAGATTGTTTTCAATTATCTTATTTTATCGATTCTAAA